GAGTCTGACAGAAATCCCCTTAATCAGGTGACCAAGTGAACCCTGGGACAAATGGAAATGTGTCCTCCCTGATATATCGGGGTGTATCAAGAACACAACATCACTTCCAGGGACAGTCCTACTAAAGATACATAACCTGAGTCTAATCACAAGAAAGCCACAGACAAACTCCAATTGAAAGCCATGAGACAAAATAACAACTCTTCAAAAGTGTCACGGTTGTGAAAGGCAAGGACAGACTAAGGATAGTTTTCCTGACCAGTAGGGGCTAGAGTGACATGGCGAAGAAATGCAATGTGCGATTCTGGACTGGGCCCTTTTACTATAATGATTTCACTGGAGCATTAGGTGAAACTTAAAGGCGAAAACTAGAGATCAGATATTAATTTCCTGATGTTCAATGAGATTAGATGTTAACTTCCTGGTTTTATTCAATGTTAATTTTCTGATGTTGATGATTATGTTGTGGTTATGTAGGAAAATGTCCTTGTTTGTAGGAATTACACACTAAAGTATTTGGGGGTGATGGGGCTCAGGTTGGCAATTTACTTCCAAAGCATTCAAGGTAAAAAAAAAGTTCCCTGTACTGTACCTGCAACCTTACGGTGTTTGCGTCAGTTTCAAAATAAGTATCATTAACATGTGAAGAGGCGAGCAAAGAGTGTGCAGCTAAAATATGTAGGCAAATATTGTCAGGCAATTGATCAGTAAAAGTATTTTGTTATTCTCCTGGGTTTGTGATGTTTTTACTTTGTACTGATTTGTTTTATCATTTATTAAATGTTCACTTTCACACCTGATTTTCTATTCTTAATGAAGGCCCTACAAAATTGTATCAGCTTCATGCCCCGTAAAACCAATACTCATAAGTGGGCTTTCTTACTACCCTTTTAAAAATGAGAAAACTGAAGCACAGAAATATAAAGAGACTTGCCCAAGGTCTCTCAGTTAAGTGATGAAGAAGAATTTGGACCCAGACAGTCTGACTGTAGACTCTCCTTCCACGGGATGTTGTGAATACCCAGTAAGATAAAAGGGCATTAAAGGAACTTTATAAACGTAAGAATGAAGATTATTATGCACTTGTAATTGCATGAAAGATGCGTGCCTGTCTGCTGGGGTCTGTTTGCCTTAGTTCCTTAGTCAGAGGGAAGGGGGAGCAAAGTCCTCCTACTGTATGCCAGAAACTGCTTGGAATTCAACACGTAGGATCTCACTTTGTCCTCACAGCATCCCTGCAAGCAGGCATTGTCCCAGATGAAGCTTCTGAGGCCCACAGAGATTTGGGGTTCAGCCCACAGTCACATAACTGAAAAGTGATAGAGCCAGGAGCAGATGCCAGGGATGGCGATGGCTGCCCAATAGTGTGTTAGCAGAAGGGTTGCCAGGCTGGGCTTGCCAAGGTCTACAGACATAACGCAGCCAAGGACCTTCCCACCAGCTCCCACAACCCATGCCCCAGCATCTGAGACAGGTGCCTGGGACAGTGGAGCCATATGGCTGGTGGCAGAGCAACGTTTCTGCCCAGATCATAAGTGGGCAATATCTGCAGACCAGGAAGCAGCAGCAAGGCGGGGGCCCAGGTAGTCACCAGCTCTGGCTGCACAACTGGGGCAGTGGGTCCAGGGGAAAAAGCAAGGACTTTGGAGTCAGACTGGTGTGGGCTCTGTCTCTTCTTAGTGGTGTGAACTTGGGCAAGTCACTTTACCTCTTTGAGTCTCAAAAAGTAAGAATCGTGCCTCATAAGGAAGCTCTGAATATTAGAGTGGGAAGTGCCTGGCACATAGTAGGTGCTCAGTAAACAGCAGTATTTCATTGTTATTCTGCAAGGGCTTCTCAGCAGATATGGCCCCTCAGGAGCTCCAGGAATCCAGGCTGGGGAGAAAGAGCTCTTAAGGACCTTATTCGTGCAGGGCCCTCCAGAACTGGAATCAGAGGAAGGCAGCCTCCTAGACTGCACAGTGGGCAAAGTCCTCCCAGCCCCCCAGGATCCTGGCTCCCTTCCCCGAAGCCTATTCCTCACCAACAACAGGAATAGGGCCCCAAGGTTAGGCAAACAAGTGAGCGATAAGGCGCTTCCAGGCTGGGCCTTGTGTTCAAGGCTTGTCCGGCTCTGGGGCTGGCTTCCTAGCTGAGCGAGAGTCCTGCAGGCACCAATAGGGACACCTGCCATGGCCACCTGCTGATTGTGCACCTGAGGCCTTGGTGCCCTGGTACAGCCTGGGTTAATGACCCTGTTTATCCACTTGAATCATCTGATAAGGGGCAGCAGGGCCAGCAGGCAGGTGACCCTGTGCCCTGCACCCACTGCTTCATTGACTGAAGTGATATCAGGGCCACGTGGAGCTTCCAAGCCTCCCTCCCCCGCCACTTCCCCACCGGTCCTTCCAGGGTCAGTGTGAGTTTCTTTTTTTTTTCAATGAACATGACTTCTGGAGTCAAGGTTGTTGGGCGGTTCCCCCCTCCCTCCCCCATTTGGGGATATAAATAGCACCCACAGCACAAAGCAGAGGGCGGGAGAGCTTGGAGGAAGGAGGAACATATCCTCAACCATGAGCTCCAGCCAGCCAGGGACCTGCCCGTGCCAGCATGCTGCAGGCCGCCCAACCATTCTGTATGCACTTCTGAGCCCCAGCGTCAGGGACTGGCCCTCTGTGCCCCCAGCCCGTGGCCGCTGCCTGTGCAGGCAGCACCGGCCCGTCCGGCTGTGTACTCCCCATCGCACCTGCCGGGAGGCCTTGGATGTTCTGGCCAAGACGTTGGCCTTCCTCAGGAACCTGCCGTCCTTCTGCCAGCTGCCCCCCCAGGATCAGCGACAGCTGCTGCGGTGCTGCTGGGGCCCCCTCTTCCTGCTTGGGTTGGCCCAAGACATTGTGACCTTCGAGGTGGCTGAGCTCCCAGTTCCCAGCATACTCAAGAAGATCCTGCTGGAGGAGCCCAGCGGTGCAGGCAACGGCCAGGTGCCGGGTCGGCCCCAGCCCTCACTGGCTGCGGTGCAGTGGCTTCAGTGCTGCCTGGAGTCCTTCTGGAGTCTGGAGCTGGGCCCCAAGGAATATGCCTACCTGAAAGGGACCATCCTCTTCAACCCTGGTGAGCTCCCAGACATTCCTGGATGGGCCAAGGCTGGAGGGGGGCAGGGCCCAGCCAGGGACAGCGCCTTCTAAGGGCTTGACATCTGTGATCACTTTGGGTCCTGATTATCACCAAATAGTCATCTCACAAAAGAGGCTCAGAGAGGCTAATTGACTTGGTGAAAGCCACACAGCCAGGTAGGGGCAGAGCAAGAATGGGGACTCAGGTCTATTCATATCAGTATCTAGTCCTTGCCACTCTGCCTAAGAAATTGCCCTGACCCTCAGGGAAGGTGGGACTGGGGAAGGGGAGGGTGGGCAGACACAGCTGTGCCTCAGTCACGCCTTCACGAGCGGACTGCATGGGGAAGTTCTGAAGGTGAAACTCTGTTGGTTCAGAAAGACCACATAGAGAAGAGGAATAAAGATGAAGGGGTGTGGGGGAGGAGAGGGAGGAGTCCCCATAAACTTCAGCCGGGAGAGCAACGGATAGAGGAAGTGTTCTTTGTAATCTGGAGAGCATCTAGATGAGAATTCCTCACCAAAGGCCCTCGTAGAATGCATTATTATAATTCATTATAATCATAGTGAGTACTCATATTACACTTACCATATGTTAGGTCCAGTTCTAAGGCTTTTACATATACTAGCTCATTTAAACCTCATAACAAGCCTAGGAGATAGGTACTATTATTTATCCCAATTTTACCAATAAGGAAACCGAGGCACAGAGATTGAGAAACTTTGTCCAAGGTCACACAGTTAATAAATGACAGTGTGGGATTCAAACCCAGGCAACCTGGGTCTTAACCATTGCTCTATACTGCCTCTGCATAAAGGATGGAAAAATGAAGTGATAAATAAATAAATGAAGGAGGTAGTAATGGGGCCTCAAAGGCCAAGCCGGTGGCCTCCAGTCTTGGGCCAGTCTTGCCCCGTGGTGTCGGAGTAGGCTACTCACCAGCCATCTGTGCCTTCTCTGCCCGCAGACGTGCCAGGCCTCCACGCCTCCACCCACATCGGGCACCTGCAGCAGGAGGCGCACCAGGCCCTATGGGAGGTCCTGGAGCCCTGGTGCCCAGCAGGCCAAAGCCGCCTGGCTCGTGTCCTCCTCACGGCCTCCACCCTCAAGTCTGTTCCACCCAGCCTGCTTGGAGACCTGTTCTTTCACCCTGTCATTGGAGACGTTGACATCGCTGGCCTCCTCGAAGACATGCTTTTGCTGAGGTGACCTGCTCCAGCTCAAGCAGAGTCTGGGTGGAGGCTGGCAGCACTGATTTGGCCTGGTTGTTCCCTGGGTGACCCAGTGCTCCCAGAGGCTTCCCATGAGCAGCTGGTCCCGGCCCAGCCAGGTGGGCTATGGGGCCCTCACTCAGCCCAACCCCATCTTGGCCTTCCTTGGTTTGGACACAGTGCTCCAGCTGTCTGGCCAGCCCTTGGTGGTCCCAGAGCCTCTGGGCCAAGACTCCTCTCTCTTCCTGGGACGGGGTTGGAAGTTTCGACTGCTCATTGGGCCAGGAGTCCTATTGACTTTGTACAGAACTGACTTAAGTTATTGGGTTTTGTAATAAAAGGTGTGATAGCACTTGGAGCCTGACACTGTAGTTTGTACATGTGGAAGGGACCCGTTCACCTCCAGAGCCACCCTGCCTCTGTCAGAGGGAGCCCAAGATGAAGGAACTATAAGTGGCACAGAAGCCAGACCTCAGGAAACTGGAATTTTAATTTTTCAGAGTGGGATGATGATTTCATTTCTGGGGATGAGATTTATTTCACATGGGTCTGAATTCAGGGGGCGGTGTCAGTTCAGGACCCTCTCATGTCCTTGCTTTTATCTTAGGGGGTAGGGAGTGTCTCTCCCTGTCTTCAAATCCCCTGCTGACCCCTCCCTCAGCTCCTGCCCCGGCCTCCCTTTCACCTCAGTGAGAACTGCCAATTACAGCCAATAAGGAAAATGAAGCAGCCCATTTCCAAATTGAAACAGACAGGTTACAGGAATTTCTGCAGTTTGGGATCATTCACTTCCCCCATTCCTTCAGCAGACAGAGGAGTCTAGTCCACAGTTCTCCCAATGGGAGGGGGCAAGGGCAATTAGGGCTGGCCTGGAGGCTGCTTGGAAACCCGGAGCAGACCGAGGCTTAGTTGCCACACCAGCTGTTAAAGTCTGAAACACACTTCCATGACCGTTGGCTCATAGCCACTGCCTGGAGCTCCCCTGCCCCTCTGTGGCGGCCCTTCTCCTGGAATCCATCCCCATGTCCAGCAGCTAGAGGGCAACACTTGGCATAGCCACGGCTTCCGGGGCTGCTCCGTTCAGTACATGGCTTGTGTCTATTCTGATTAGTCAATGTCTGTGCCTCACTGTTTGTTAAATATTTTGAATATCACTCAGGTCAAGGTCACTGACCTGCAGGGTGGGCAGGAGGGAATGATAACACACATGCCTATAGGACCCCCTTTCAGGTCCCCTCCTTTCTCCAGCAATGAGGCCTGTCCCAACCAGGCCCCACCCCCCTCACCACCACAGTTTGGATTCTTCTCAGGGGGGGCCAAGTTAATTATTACTCAATGAGAGGCCATTCACTCAGGGACAGCAGTCTAGGAGTCATCATCACTCAGACCTTTCCCTAAGGCCACAAAGAAAGGCACCACAACTGAACCGGCCATGTACCCATTATGGGCACCCAGTGCCAGCAGCAAGGGCACCCCTGTCCCTGACTCAATCACCCACTCACCACTCAGACACCCAGAATGAGACAGAATGGCACAGCTCAGACCCCACAACGAAGACACTCACACAACTCAGACCTACAACTCTCTCTCACAGACACACTAAGTTGAACAACTCAGACACGCTTACATAGACCCACAAAACAGACCCTCCATCGGCCCACACACAGCACAGAAATGCACAGTCCAGATACACTCACCCAGTGATGTAGGGCAAACACATTCACAGAGAGGAGACGTGCCCCCAAGCCAGACGTTCACACCTACATCCCTCCACCCATGGGTGGGACACACCAGAGCATGCTCTCCACCTTCTGTATTTCACAGTAAAAGAAAAAGTGGCCCCCAGCGTAGGGAGTCCGTACACTTCAGGTTCTACCCAGAGGCTGCAAGTACAGGCCAAACTGCTCTGTCCAGCATTTAGGGCCTCAATCACTCCCTTTTCCCATGGCGACCCCAATATCTACCCTTCTCTCAGAAAGGCCATGTGCTGCTCAGCGACACGCCCCCAGCCAGGACCTAATCATATCCCCAAGTAGAGACGTCCTCTAGAGCCCAGGAACAACCCTGCACCCCTCTACCCCTTCACCCTCCACCAGAACCCCAGACCCAGACCTCAGTCCCTGACACCTGTCCCTGCCCTGCCCCTCCCACCCCTTGGGCCCATCTCACCTTGCAGACGCATGAGTCAACCAACGCTTTCAAGAGCAGATGACTCATCTCCCCGTAGGAGCCAAATCCTGCAGATTCAGGGATTTGGGGTCATTCTATCTTTTATGCCCCTTCACCAACTGCCCGGTTAGTTTACTGTTGCTCCTCTCTGAACCTCAGACTGAATCTTCCTGCCTCTCACCCGCCCTCCCTAACCCTGAGCAGGCATCAGAAAGCGCTCCTCTCCACTCTCCACCCCAGCCTTTTCCCTCAATTTACCTAATGTTTCCATCATCCAAATAGCTTCCCTATTAGCCTACCTTGTTCCTTTGCAAATTTCTTCCCTACCCCTCCACATGATTGGGGAGCTACACTTCTATTTCTTGTCTATATATTTTGAGTCACTCCCTGTGCCCTACCCAAGCCTTCTAGAGGAACATAAAGACAAATTTAGCAAAACTAAAGAGAAAATTATAATATAGTTTTTAAAAATATTTTTTTTTTATTTATTCGGCTGCACTGGTCTTAGTTGCAGCACGCAGGAATCTTCGTTGCCGCATGCGGGCCCTTCATTGCGGCATGTGGGATCTAGTTTCCTGGCCAGGGATTAAAACCAGGCCCCCTGCATTGGGAGAGTGGAGTCTTAACCACTGGACCACCAGGGAAGTTCCTATAATACAATTTTTTTTAATAAATTTATTTTATTTATTTACTTGGCTGTGTTGGGTCTTCGTTTCTGTGCCAGGGCTTTCTCTAGTTTCGGTGAGCGGGGACCACTCTTCATTGCGGTGCGCGGGCCTCTCACTGTTGCGGCCTCTCTTGTTGCGGAGCACAGGCTCCAGATGCGCAGGCTCAGTAGTTGTGGCTCATGGGTCCAGTTGCTCCGCGGCATGTGGGATCTTCCCAGACCAGGGCTCGATCCCGTGTCCCCTGCATTGGCAAGCAGATTCTCAACCACTGCGCCACCAGGGAAGCCCCTCCTATAATACAATTTAATAAGGGCAATAATGCTTTCTCCATGAGACTGCAGGGTTTCCAAAGGTGGGAGGCTGTCTTCACTATCAGTATCTTAACAGTGGGAACTGTGTCACATCAACCAGTGAGGGTAGAGGAAGAAACAGGCTTAGACAGGGTATGCAAATTATTCAAGGTTTGGACTGATCACCATCTGTGCTGGGATTTGAACTTAGGCCTGTGTGACCGTGGAGGCCGGGCTCTGGCCAGCACAGGCTGGAGTGAGTCATGGCCAAGATCAGGTTGTCTGGAGCCAGCTCAGCCACTGTTTACTGACTGTCTCTCAGCCTGATCCCTGTCCTCAGGCCCAGCCAGGGCTGACGCACTAGGAAGCAGGAGAGTGGCTGTGGCTCTGGGTCAGCCTCAGGTACCATTTTATTATCATCATTATTTCTACCTTCATTAGCCATATCATTGACTGCTTATTAAGCAGTCAGGCTGTTGACGGGTGCTGTGCCCTGCGCTGACACACCCTGCCCTTGGTACAGTCACATAACCTAGAATTTATGATGCCAGCAAAAAGCCAACACCCAGTATTTATCCATCCATTCATGCCATTTTCAACGTCTTTCTTGATGTCCACTGTTCCAGATCCTGTGCTAGATGCTGAGGAGCACAGAATAAATAAGATTCAGTCCCTGCCTTCATTGAACATCCTGCCTATGGCAGAGAGACACACAAGTAACTGTAACACGGAGTGATTTGAACCGTGATAGAGGGACATCCAACAGGCAGCAGGGGCTCAGAAGAGGTAGTAATTAAATCTGCCTGGAGATGGGAAAAATGCTTCAGCCAAGTGGTAGCTGCTATGAGCTAAAGAGATTGAATAGGGAGTTGCCAGGCAAGAAGGAACGATAGGTGCAAAGGCACAGAGGTGTCAGAGTTCAAGGATGTTTTGCTAACTGCCAGTGGTCTGGGGCAACTGGGTCCCAGAAGACCTAAGAGCAAGAGAGGATCCTGGAGAGTTGAACAGGGGCCATGTCACAGAGCAAGGCAGCAGAGAGAGGCAATCCCAGTGAAACTGGTGGAGGCAAAAAGGCTAAGGTCTCGGGGAATCAGGTTAACAAAGGGGACCATCCATTTCTGGCAGGTCATTCTGGATAGCTACTAAACAATAACCAGCTAACAGTTATGGAGAGCTATGCTCTAAACACGTTATATGGATTATGTTATTTAATTCTTACAACTCTATGCTGGAAGTACTATCATTATCTCCATTTCACAGATGGAGAGACCGAGGCACCAAGTTAGGTAACTTGCTCAAGGTTACACAGTTAATAGTAGTAGAGTCAGGATTTGAACTCAGCTGGTCTGGATTTAGGGCCTATGCTCTTAAATGCTATGCTATCTTGAGTCGTTAACGGTCAGAGATGATCAAGTGGAGAATAAATAACAGCACCTAGACTCCTTCTCCCCACCTCACTGGAAGGTAGAATGAGAGTGAAAATGTAGTCTTGGGACTTCCCCGGTGGCCCAGCGGTTAAGAATCTGCCTGCCAGTGCAGGGGCAGAGCTTCAATCCCTGGTCCGGGAAGATCCCACATGCCACGAGGCAACTAAGGCCACGTGCCGTAACTACTGAGCCCATGCGCTCTGGAGCCCTCGAGCCACAACTAGAGAGAAGCCCACGCACCACAACGAAAGATCCCGTGTGCTGCAACTAAGACCCAACACAGACAAAAATAAATTAATTTTTTAAAAAAACTTTAAAAATATTGAGTAAAATAAAATATTTATAAAATATATGTAATATATATAAAGAGTAACAGTACTGGGAATTCCCCGGCCTTCAGTGGTTAGGACCCAGTGCTTTCACTGCCACGGGCCCAGGTTTAAA